CCCATCCCATCCCATCCCGGAGGAGGACCCGAGTGGGCACAGGTGTGCTGTGTCGTCCCATCCCATCCCATCCCATCCCGGAGGAGGAGAAGGAGGAGGAGCCGGGCGGGTACAGGTGTGCTGTGCTGTCCCGTCCCGGAGGAGGAGCCGGGCGGGTACAATGTGCCTCCAGCCCTGCCCTGCCCAGGTTCCCCAGCTCTGCTCTGCCCTCGGCGCTGGGATGCGCTGAGCGCCCGGAGAGCGAAGGCGATGGAGCCGCTGGAGACGAACAGCAGCTGCAGCAACGGTGGGTGCAGCCCCGGGAGGGGTGGGAGAGGTCCGGGACGGCCCTAGCCCTTCCCCCGGCTTTGGAAATGTCCTCTGTCGCTGTTTTTTCTTCTGCGTTTGGGGCTTCTTTTCCCTTGTTTTGAAGTCCGTATTGGAACGGGAAAACTTGAGCCATGCTCTGCCTGCCTTCCAGCGCACAGAGAATCTAGGAGTTGGTATTTTTCCTTTAAAGATTACTTTATCCAGTCGGTAATCACCCCATCCTGCTGCCTTATGCTTGTGCCTAGTGGTACATTGTGGAGATTACCAAGAAGGCAAGTTCCCCCTGTCCACCAGGAAATGTTTTCATTATCAAAAGTATTTTTCTATTAGAAAAAAAACCTAGATTATTAAGAAACCTTTGGAAATTCATCTAGAAAATCCCTGCAATTTTTCCCTTTTGAAAAAAGTGTCTATCTAGTTCAGATCCAAAAACCTCAGCTATGTGTGCCAGGACCAGGGGGTGTAGCTGCAGAAGGTCTAAGCCAGTCTCCTGGTTCAGGAAAAGTGTGGGACCCATGCCCAGGCTGCCAGCAGTGCTGGGAGCAGTTTAGCCATACTCCTGCCTCCAGAGACACAAATAGTTGCTCTGTAATGCCTATGTGAGTTCTGGCAGAAAATTGTGGCCTTTTACTACAAAGGGACTTTTGTGACACTCCTCCTGCTGCTCTGCTCCCCATAGTCTTTACTACCTGTGGCCTTTTACTACAAAGGGATTTTTGTGACACTCCTCCTGACTGCTCTGCTCCCCATAGTCTTTACTACACTCAGAGTGAAGATTGCAATAGACAGATGTACTGGGTGTGGTAGGAGTGTCAGGGGAGGAAGAAACTCAGCAATTTTTCTTCCCACACACAGCAACACACCTTGGCCTGACACTGGGCTGTAGTGCTCTTGGTGTTAACAGCAGAAAACTGTGGCTGCTCTCAGTCCTTCCACACTGGCAGGACTGGGTTTGCTTTAGGAGCTCTCAGACACTCTGCAAATAGGTAGAATGAAACCATTAAACAAACAGTAAAGATGAAACTTTGGTCAGAGACAAACCTGTTGGTGCCTTATGACACTGCTCAGTACACAGAGCTGGAACAGATGCACATTTACAATGTTCTGGCATCTCTCCACATTAAACCCAAGGTTATAAGCAGATGAGCTGGCAGATGCAAGGATTAGTTGGCTGGAAAGCACCAAAGCCTTTAAATCAACAAGGCTGAGGGTCAATAAGACATAGTTCAACCCCATAACATTGGAGTTTGGTGGAGATTCTCTGGCACAGATATCTGGAAATTCAAATCACATTATTTGAGGGGTCCTTGTGGCCTTCCAGTTCAGTGTGTAGACTGGAAGACACAGGGTAATGAGATGCTTGAACTGTACCTATGAACACTGTCATTCAACACTGCCATTTCCACATGTGAGTAAAGAGGTGTCCTGAGCTTTTGAGAGCTGATGGGTATGTGCTGTTTGGGTGACAGCATGAGTGGCTGTTCAGGGGAACATCTGAATGAGTTCAAGGATAATGGAGACACTGTTGATAGTCATGTCACTAATTTGCTGTTTTATCTCCATGATGGTCTCACAGGGTCTCTGATCACCCTCTCATGCCTTTCTCACCGGGTCGTGTGCCAAGTGATCAGTGATGCTGACTCAACTGACTCTGTCCAGGACAATAGGACTTCAGATAACTTCTGGGTAACTCAACTGGAAAACAATTATGGATTCTACATTGGCCTGGGTTTGGCTGTCTTCTCCAGCTTCCTCATTGGAAGCAGTGTCATCCTCAAGAAGAAGGGGCTGCTACGGCTGGTGGAGAAAGGAGGCACCAGAGCAGGTAAGGCTTTTGTGGGGGACAGGAGGGAGAAGGACCACCTGTTCCCAGAACCACATGCACCATCCAAACTCCAGCACTCGTAAGGCAAGGGAACACCTCTGGGTACAGTGAGTCTTCTATCAGCAATGTAAATAAGAACTTTTGTGGATGCATTTTTGTGTGTGAGACAGAGAGAGCAGTGCTGTTCAGGAGCTGAGAAGTTTATTTACAGACCCTGCATTGGAAAAGAGGTAACTTACAGAGCCCTGCCATGGAAGTGAGCTAATTTACAGAGCTCTGCACTGGAAGAGCTCAGCTAAAAGAAGCATTCCCCTGCCTGGCACTGCAAATAGCAAGTGACATGCCCTGTGGGATTAGCTGTGCCTCTACCAGAAGAACAACACATGCCCATCACAGCTCTGACATGGGAAAGTATGAGGAGGAAGCAGAGTGCTGAAAGCTCTTTGAAATGGGCCCCTCTGCACAAAGCTGCAAGTCATGACTGTGCCCCAGTGCACTAGGCATCTTTGCCACCACATCACCGGGACAAGGACGTGGCCCCATGTGCTTTAATTGCCCTAGCAAGAGCCATGTATGAATGCAGAACTCCACATCAGTGCTCTGGGTGAACTCTGCTTGTGGTTTCAGAAGGAATCCTTCGGAGGTATGTTGCTCAACAACCTGTGGATAACTTTCCCCTAGCACCAGGCTCTTAGGGTGAGGCATGTGTTAATGTGCACATATATATGGATGGGCCATGGTGGAGGAGCACTGCCTACAGCAGAATTGCACTGTGGAGTTGGACACATCCCATCAGCATTGCAAACGTGCTCTAGCAACAGTTGAAGAAGTCCTACCTAGCAACTGACCTACTTGCATAACTACAAAACAAAGTAATGATAATTAAAATACTACTGCTTCCCAGTTCTGACCTAGGAACTGTTCTTAAAAAAAATTTTAGAGGAAGTAAATATCACCATCCCCATTTTACTGTGTCTCCACATGGAGACACAGAGGCATGGAATGATGTAGTGGCTGTCCAGAGTCAATCAGCAAAACTACCAACAGCACCTGAGCCAAAGATCAGTTTTGAGTCCATCCCCATCCTCTACCACTAGGCTGAACCCAGATGGGTTTGCTTTTTTGGCATTATATTTGCAACATGAAATACCAGCATTGTTTCAACCCTAGAATGTCTCTCTCCTCCTTCCCTCCATGAACTCTTCCCACAACAGAGACAAGTGAGTAAAAGAAGAGCAAATACCTTCTGTTTTTTCAGAATGTGTAACAAGGAATTAGAGATTGATGACAGAAAACTGCAGCTGACAAAGAGTTTGTCAGTAAAAACCTAACCAAGCGGGAAAAAAACCCAGGACAAATAAACCAGCATTTTCTAAGAAATACCAAAGAATAACATCTGAACTTCAGCATTTATGAACTTGTTGAGGAATGAGAAGAGGCTGAATTCTAGCAAAAGATTTTTCCCTGTGTCCTGAACTCTTCGTTCCCCCTCGTCCTATCTCATGCCCTATCTCTCAGACCCAGTGTGTTACCCCTGCTATCTGAGCACATCACTTTTCTCCAAGGCAGGTCAAACACTGCTGTTACTGACAGCTCTGGTTGGGTCAGATTTGTGAAAACATGGGCTCTCCTTGACCCAGCAAAATCAGGATTCACAATGTCAGCAGGCTCAAGCTCCTTATCTCTAACAGCTTGTGGGTTAAGACCAGAGTTGGATTAGTTCCCAACACAGTATGTCCATTCTTCCTTATTTATTTATATCACATTTTCTTTCATTTAGTCGGTCCAATGCCATGAATCATTTTTCATCAGAAATACTCAGACACATAATGACTGTTCCACATAAAGTCAATATTAGGTTTTCTGGCAGTTCAGGCTGAGGCCCTGCAATACAACCATGATACACAGCAGTGTACAAAAGGAGCAGATAATTTCTGGGGCAGAACACAGGGAGCCTTCACCATGGCTATACAGCAACATGAACTGTGGCAGTGCACAGAGCAACAACCAGTGTTTCCCATCTCCATCCTTCATAGCTGTAACTCTGCTTGAGCTGGGTTTGGAAAAACTTCTTGCCTTACCTTAGTGCTCATGTGTGAGGCTCTGGAACAAGCTGCTGTGATGCAGGGTGAAGCACAGGCTCCCCATGGGCAGGGTGCATGTGGCACTGGCCCAGGGAGCAGCTCTGGGTGAGGGGCACCCAGTAGAGAGGAGGTCCTGTCATGCTTCATCCCTCTGCTCCAGGCACATCCCATAGGGGACTGGGAAAGTGGAACATGCAAGAGGAGAGACAACCAGTCTGTGGGAGCTCAGCTGGGTGTTTATTCTGGATTTAGGGGGTGATGCACCCTGACAAACCAGCAAGGACAACCACAGCTTGGAGGGCTGAAGGGCAGCCCCAAGCTCCATGCTGCTGCAGAGTGGCTGCAACCAAGGCTGATAACCTCTGGGGCAACAATGTCATTCCCATTGCCACCCTGGATTAAATTGCTGCTTTTATAAGTAGCTTCCACTAATCCCTTAACTTAATTTCCCTGTAGGATGGCATGTCTGCATATTCTTCCTTCCCTTCCAATCTGTTTTCTTTGTTATATTCTTCCTCTTGCAATTTATTTCTCTCTGAAAGGACATTTCTCATTGCTCTGAAGACTATGGTTGTTAACTCCTGCATACCCATGTGCTTTTCTTCCCCAGGAGACGGAGGCCATGGATACCTAAAAGACTGGCTCTGGTGGGCTGGCTTGTTAACCAGTAAGTAGAACCTGTTTCCCTGGATTTGCAGTTTTTCCAGGGTCTATCCCTGTGAATGAAGTGTGGAAGAAGCAGTGTGCCATGGCTTAAAGCCTGTGGCCTGTTGAGTTTCCCCATCCTCAGCAGAGGCTCCTCAAGGAAAGAGGCAATGAGCCATGCAGGATCTCCCTCACCATCCACCTGCAGGGCTGGTAGGACTTGCTAGCTCAGTTTTACTTGATCTAAAGCATGAAAAGCCAGGTTTTAATAAGGCAGCTGGCAGCTCTGCCTGTGTGCCAGGCACAGGGCAGCCTCCTGTGTGTGCCTGGGGGTGCCAGGAAAGGTTCCTGCTGCAGCACAGGCAGATAACAGAGGTGCAGGTAGCAGCTCCTTTCTTGGGCAAAGCCTGTTTTCCCTTAGAGCAAGCCTTAAGACCTTTCTTTTGTGCTGCAGCGTTACAGTATCTCCTCAAATTGAACTCAAAGCTACACAGAGAGCAGCAGATTTCACAAGAGGGTTTTTCAGAACCCACTTTTCTGGTTCTCACTGCAGCAGCAGCAGCTCAAGGTGCCTCCACCTCGCTCTGCCCTTGCAGCTCCTCTGAGCTACTGTGAGTGAGTACAGAGCACTCATGGCTCGAGGACACTCCAAGGACACACTGTGGGGGTGAGGAGCAGCTTCCCAGCACTGGAGTTCCCCCAGCTGCCCCCCAACCCCTCACTAACCCCCAGACACATTGCAGCTCCTGCCTAGGGTTTAGTGAGTCCATGTGGGTCAGCCCTGACATGACCAAGCCCTGACATTCCCATCCCTTCCCTGTGTGTGTGCAGGACTCCAGTGTGTCTCTCTACTTGCAGTAATTTGTAATAATTTTCACCCACTGTTTAGCAGCAGCATGAGACCCCCAGCGTAAAACCCACTCTCCAACTGAAGCATTACTGGTTTTCAAGCTCACAAGAGAAAACGCACAAAGTACTCCGTAACTCACTCATTTTTATTTTTCTTGTTTTTGTTTAGTGGGTGGAGGGGAAGCTGCCAACTTTGCTGCCTATGCCTTTGCTCCTGCAACTATTGTCACACCTCTGGGGGCTCTGAGCGTGCTCATAAGGTGATTTATGTGTCTAGAGTTTGCAATTTGCCTTTTTTTGGTTTGCCTGTTTGTCTTGTAGAGATAAGACTTAACGTGATGCTAATATAGTTTATTCTGCCTAAAGGGAAAAAAGTCTCAGTGTTTTCTGAAAAACAATTGTTGTCCTTTTTGAGGCATCATTTGGGAACCACTGGATTAAGTAACCCTTCTGGAAATGCTGCATTAGATAGCAGCCAAATACACTGTAGGTTAAATTATTGCAAAGCTCAATGTTACTTCCTTCCTTCTTCCAGCTCTTCAGCCATCTCAAGGTTGTTGCTGTTTGTTTTATTGGTTTGTCCTTCCTTATTCCAGCTCTTTAGCCATCTCAGGGTTGTTGCTGTTTGTTTTATTGGTTTGTTTTGAACTTGCAGTCAACAGTACTAAAAATCTGAAAGGGTCAAAAACATCAGACTTGTTTACAAACTGCCTTTCACTTGCCTTTTATTTTCTAGGCTTTTTAGGCTCTGAAGTTGTGGGGGTTTTATACTTCTAGCTGTTGCCAAAAATTCCAGCTCTTTAGCCATCTCAGGGTTGTTGCTGTTTGTTTTATTGGTTTGTTTTGAACTTGCAGTCAACAGTACTAAAAATCTGAAAGGGTCAAAAACATCAGACTTGTTTACAAACTGCCTTTCACTTGCCTTTTATTTTCTAGGCTTTTTAGGCTCTGAAGTTGTGGGGGTTTTATACTTCTAGCTGTTGCCAAAAAAGGCTGAAACCCTATTTTATTTCTTTGTTTTTAAAAGGGAGATTCCTACCAAACTACATGGCTGTGGGTACTGAAGGTTTTATAGGACTGTTATTGTGAAATGCATAAACAAACAGTTAGGACTTGCTCTGGTGTCTTGCCTCAAATCTGTATGGACAACAGCTACATTTTTTTTTGCAGATACATTCCAGTATCTTCAGAGTCTCTCTGAGGCTTAATAATTCTGATGATTTAGTTAAAATTAATGTAACTCTTCTGGTGTTAGGTTCAGGGTTTTTTTCCCTATTACACTAGTCCTTGAAGTAATTTCTTTGAGCACTAAAAGCTTTATAATGCAGCTTCATTCAGCAGCTCATGAATGATTCTGTAGACCCTGAAAGTATTTCTGGGGGTGTGTTAAGACATTCAGCACTTTTGCACCTTGCTGACACAAGAGCTGTGACCTATAGATCACACCTGCACCTCTGCAGGTTCAGCTGTCAGTAGATGCAATGTGACTGTGTATTAACACACTGGAATCCAACAGATTTACTCCCAATTTGTGTCCCTGTAGTGCAGAAAGGTAGTCTTCATTTAGCTGCTGATCCTTTTTTAAAGGACTTTCAAGCACCAGCTGATGTTTTCTTGTCCCATGCAGTGCCATCTTGTCTTCATATTTGCTTGGAGAGCGGCTCAACCTGCTGGGAAAGCTGGGCTGCATGCTGAGCCTCGTGGGCAGCACTGTGATGGTGATACATGCCCCAGAGGACGTGGAGGTCACCACTCTGGATGAAATGACTTCCAAGCTGAAAGAACCAGGTACACAGAAGGTTGTGTTTTCCCTCTTGGGGCTGGCCAGTACATATTGCTCCCTTTGGCCATTGCTTGAGTTTTGAGTTCTTCTCTCCCTCTTCCAGGTTTCCTGGCTTATGGTGCGATTCTCTTGGCTCTCTGCTTCCTCCTGATCTTCTACCTCGCGCCCCGTTACGGCCAGAGCAACATCCTCGTCTACCTCACCATCTGCTCCGTTATTGGTGCCTTCTCTGTGTCCTCAGTCAAAGGCCTGGGAATTGCCATCAAGGGCTTCTTTGCTGGCCAACCTGTGCTGCAGCACCCACTGACATGGATCCTGGTCGTCACGCTGGTGGCATCCATCACTACACAAATTAACTACCTCAATAAGTCTCTAGACATTTTCAACACCTCTTTAGTGTTTCCCATCTACTATGTGCTGTTCACCACCATCGTCATCACAACTTCCATCATCCTCTTTAAGGAGTGGGTCACCATGACTGTAATTGACATCATTGGGACTGTGTGTGGCTTCCTAACCATCATTTTGGGAGTGTTTTTACTCCACGCCTTCAAAGACATGGATGTCAGTTTAGGGAATCTACCACAAGTCTTCCAGAATGAAGATCAAGCACCAGTCACCAGAGATGACAAGAACATCCTGATAGAGGTGGACAACTCCAGCATCGCCCCAGAGGATAAACCCAAAGTATTCTTGCTCTACACCTAATGTGTTATATGTGAGGGACTGCAGGTTGGGTGAATGAGTTGATGCCAATATTCCAGGTGCCAGTGAACAATTTGAAAAAAGGAAAAGAAGAAAACAAAACTAACAGTGTCTTATCCAAGGCTTGATATAGTCAAGCCAAGTCTTTCTTTGGGCTCTCTGTCATGGTGTGGCAGCAAGGGGTGTGTTTAATCCTTGCTGTGCCTTAATACATGCAGCCACTGAAAACAAAAATCCTCTTGAAATATGATAGTCCTGGAACAAAACTCCTCTCTGAGGCCCCTTCCCATCTCTTATTCTTGGCAGGGCTAATGTTTACTCTTGCACTCCTTCCCCCGGGTAGCCATTGATGTCTTTATTTCCAGGCCTTGATTGAGTCATTGATTAGCATTTTTTGTCTTTTTTTTTTCCTTTCTAGACACTTGCATGAACTCTAAAATAATACACCAGTGGAGGAGACAGACAAGGACTGAACAGCGCACGCCTGCTATTCAGACTCATCCATGTTTAATTCACTTGCTCTGCAAATAATGGGACAAGAACATTGGTGAACATGGGCAAAAGGGGTGAACTTTGGAATAGGCACTCAGGCTCAGTGGCAGGACCCAAGCCATGAAGTTTTTTTACAAGAAAATCTTTTTCAACTCTTGTTTTTTTTGTGAGATATGTTATACTGAATCTAATTAGTACTGGTTGGCTGTCTTTTTTCTTTTTTTTTTCATTTCTTTGGGGTTTTGGGTTTTTTTCACTTAGCAGCTCTGGCTTCCAGGCCATGTTGATGTGGCTGGTGAAGTTGCTGGGCCTGATCCAGATCCCACTCAGGCTGGAGATCTCTGGCAGGGTAAACCAACCCCATGTCAGGAGAGACGCTGCCACTGTCCCCAAGACTTCTTGTGAAAACCATTTCAGTCTGAAAGACGAAGTGGCTGTAAATATTAAGCATTCTTTTTCTTAGGAAATATCTTGACCTTGTGGGATGACCTGCCCTTAAGGGGGAGGAAGCAACTGAGTCATCACACCTTAGCAAGTCCCCCAACTATTTGAGCCCCATGGCCTGTCCTGCTATCATCTCAGCCCCAAAGATTTTTGGTTGTTGTTTAGATAGAGGTATGAGCTGAGTGTTAAAAGCCAAACAGGCATAAGTGGGTAATGCTCTGCAGACCTGTAGGGATGGAGTTTATCCCAGAGTAGTCCTGTCACCACTCTCCATCTCTCCAATATAATATACCTGGACTTTGCTCACATCCCCTTGGATTTGTATCAGGGTCAGGATGAGGGGATGGGATATATAACATTTTGAACTGGAAGGTGAAAAAAAGAAGGTATTGCTGCAGTTAAAAGGTTCTCTCATCTTGCTGCTGGGTCTTACACCACAGAGAGGCTGAAGCCCATTTGCTGACAGCAAATCCCTGCTCCAAATGGGGAGCAGTGAAGCCTGTGCTGGCTCCATCCAGAGACAGCTCTGCCTGGGTTATCCCTGGACTATGGCACGCAGTCCTGCTGGCCAAAATGCTCACCTGGTTATACCTGGGTCTGAGCATCACTGAGCAAATGCAACATGGGGTTGTGGGAGAGAGGAATATACAATCTCTTATTTTAATAACATTTCAGTACTATTTTTTTTGAATGTGGAAAGGGAAATAAATGTGGTTTTCTAAAAAAAAAAAAAAAAGGTTTCAGGTGAATTTGAAAGTTTTTAATGATTCTCTCATCTTATTGGTGTAGCCCTAAAGGATAAATAGGCTCAGGGAGAGCTGAGTACAGCGTGTGGAGCAGAGTGAAACTGCAGCGACCTCCTTTGGTGGCAGAAAACAGTCCGAGTCACTCTAGCTTTGGTTTTTGGCATCCTAATGTGTGTAATGCTTTATGCATTTTATTTCAGAAAATGACTGTAAATGGCACTCATTTTTCCTCACTGTCTGGAAGTGCATTTCATAAAAGCTACGCCCCCAGCAATCCTGACATCCCTGGAGAAATGTCGTATAGAAAATGAAGATCTGAGCCAAGGTAATGAGAGAGCACACAGTGACATTTGTTAATGACAACCAACAAATTTATTAAAATTAGGCAAAAGGCACAATGAATTGCATTCTTCAAGTATTTGCATAGAGAGCATTATTGTAAACCATTAACATGTGGACACAGAAGAAAGTGAGATGCATTTTGGTATATGTTCTCCCAAGTAACATTATCTTTCCAAAAAAACCAGGTTTTGCCACCTTCTACTCCTCCTGCAGTTCCCCTGTTCTGATTCACTCAACTTGCACACATCTGAAAATTTCAAAGGACTTTACTTAAAACTACCTTTTGGGGATTTTTTTATGATACTATTCCAGCAATAAAGTTTTCCATTAGAGTTTGGGCATGTCCAGTTGTTCTCTGAGCATTGTGTTTTAAAACCTTGATCCCATGCTCACACGAAACAGAGTGAAAATACTTTTGGTGATTTTTTTTTTTAGTGCCCATTTGATTCAGATCAGGGGTTGGAGCAGAAGTGAGTTACTCAGTGAGGTCTCAGATGTAAGATCAAGTTGTTGTGGCTGAATCTACTACTACAGTGTGTGTGTGTGTGCAGGATGTGCCCATTGCTGCTCCACCTGTGAGCAGTAAAACATGCTCTTACATACACAGCCACACTGGCTGCACCCCAGGAAACAACAGATTTAGGGGCTGTTGGAAATGCAGTTTTATATGTAATATATCACAACTCTAGAAAAAGACATATAAAGATTATAAAGCTGTTGTCTTTTACATGCCATCCCTTGTGGTTGGTTTGTTTCCTAGGCACATAGAAGGTAAGAAAAGGTCCAAAATTAGCAAGACCAGGAATAATCAATGCAAAATTCAAGACACACACCCTGTGAACTGTTTCCTTGTGGAGAAAGAGGTAGTAAAGTTGTGAAGACTAGTGTGGTTTAAGTCATCCTACAGATACACTGCTACAAATAACTACAAATTTAAGGAGTACTTAGGGTTTATCTGGGTTGGGTTTTTTTTTAAAAAAAA